GCGGCCCCGGCCCTCCTGACCTTGGCTGCCCGCAAGGGTGGGCGAGCGACTTTGTCGCCCAGCGCCGAGGCTCCTGCAACCTCTCCCGAACAAGTTTTGGGCGTTGCTGTGAAGTTCACGACTGGCATTGGTGGGGAGGAGCAGAAATTGGCCCCTTCGCAGTTCTTCATCCCCCTTGGACCCTTATAGAAATCAAATCCTGGTGGTTGGAAACGTCTCCCGGAACGAACAGGTCCTTCTCTCATTGACACGTTTTGTGCCCACGTTGGGGTAAAAAATAACCTGAACATATTTCAGGGTAGAGGCAGCTCTTCCTTGAGGGTTTTGTTTTTCGCGTCACTTGAGTGTTACAGCACAGATGCCTGGATAAGAAAAGCCTGACCTTAGTATCTCTACAGAGAGATTAGACGGATGCTGTGTTATTTAAGTAGTCGCAGATCAGTGTTTTGTTAACAGATTTATTTTAATTGGTTGAAATTTAAGCTGGTTTTTAGAAACTCTTGTTGACACAGAATAATTTCTTTCCGTGCATCCTCAATTAGGTTTGTTTGAACGCAATGGTAATGTAGTTAATGTAAAAGATTACGTAAATTAATTTGTCTGAGAGCGTTGGGCTGAAACAGGACCCATAAATATGTATAGTACAGGATTATCGTTTTAGGTAACATCTGCTGGAACATTTCCACCGTGTTCGTTCTTGCTGTAGGGTTACAAAAAAGACATTTTAACCCACAGTACTGGGAATTACATTTGAATGGCATTTAGGTGTAAATTTGTTTTTAATTCCTTTAAGTGTTTTAAAATAGGTTATTCATAAAATGTGAAGAGGCTGTGTGTGCTTGTCCATGTGTGTTTGCTGTTGAAAGGAAGAGAATAATCTTACATTTCACAACTCAGGTTCATTAATAATACAATTTTAAAAGGTGAGCCTCTTTTTGAGCATATATTTATGTACCTAGCAAGCCTTTTTTGGTTGTTGTTTTGTTTTTATTACAAGTACTGTTTTAGGTCTGAGCATTTTTGGCGTTGACACTGGAGCCAGAGTAAGGAAGCCTGCAGCAGCCTTACCAGTTTGACACCAGCAGTGGGTGTTTCTGTTGACAAATGCAGAGAGGAGAACATTTGGGAAGGAAATCTTTTTTGGGGGGGTGCTGAGGGCGGATGAGGGGAGGAGTCTAATGAGAAGCTGTGGAACTGAAGCTGCCAGGACTGTGTATGCTGAGCATTTCACAAGTACAAGGAAACCTAGTTAGGAAAAAAAAATCCCTTTGACTGTATTAAATAATAGAATTCCAAAAGAGGCATACTAAATAAAGTTAACCATTACAAGGTGTTAAATAATCTGCCGTTTCACAGTAGTTGGGGCAAGGATGTCCTCAGTTGGAAGGGGTATAAATCCCTTTGAATTATCTTGCCGTTTAGCATAAACAGTGCAGTTGTTGATTTGATATATGGATACATATAAAAACAATTTAGTATCCTGATTTTATTTAGCATGTTTCCTAAGCCTAATTTTTTGAGAACAAAATTTGATTTATTAAAAAATGATGCTCTTTCTCCACAGAGCATCACTTTTTTCTCTGTTTAGTCTTAACAGTTTTATTCATGATTAGGGACTCGTGGTAGGCATTTTTTTTTTACCCCTTCTCCCGGGTTTATTTTTACTTATGCAAGTTTCCTAACCAGATCTGCCATTTTTTTCATTGTAATGTTCTTGGACCTATTTAAATCCGTGTAACATCTACTGTGTTCCCTGGGGTTTTAAAAGGAAAGGCTCCCATTGAAAGCAATTGCAGGGCTATCTCACATAGATGAGTAATAGGTTGACTGATTGCTAGTCAGATGTATTCTGTTCCAGATATGCTACACGGGGATAAGGCAGTTTCATTTAATGAGAACCAGATTTTACATGGTATTTTTATTTTAAAGGTTGCAGTATTCTTATATTACAACCCCACATACAGAGGTGGAGAAATTCCTTTAAGTAGCTGTTTTCCTCCAGCCTTGTTTCACCACTGAGGCCAAGCATCTATGAGACTCTCAACAATAGTTGTATTGTTCGAAATGACAGTGGCTTCTCTTGTAGAAAGTTAACCTTTCATTATGATTTACGTTCCCGTTTGCTTTGTAATAGAAAATTCAGCTCTATCTGAAGAATTAGCTGGAGGAAATTTGTAAAGAAGTGAGCAAGGAGATATTTTCTTCAGTATATCAGTTAAAATTTTACCTTTTCCTTCCTTCATTTTGAGAATTTTGGTGGTTATCTTTTTTTTGAAAATTAATTAATTATTTTTTGGGTGGTTATCATTTTTACACTAGATTTTAGAAAGTATGCTAGTAGAGTCTTTTATTTTTGGCATTTTGGGTGGGGATATGACTTTTTCATATAATAAATTGATGTTAAATAATAACTCGAGGTATTTAAGAACAAGTCAATCCATGTACAAGGAAAGTCCTTTATGGAATCTTTCTCTGGTTCAAAAATATAAAAAAATTAAAGTGTTAGGTTGCTTTTGAGTAGAAAAGGTTGTTTATTCAGAATTAGGTAATTTTAGATGGTAGAATTTTGTGTTTTATTTTTTGGCAGCATTACACCAAATTATTCCTTGACAGAGGAAGAAATAGACTCTCAAGGTTCTTTATCATCTGATAGTGTTGTGTCACATATTTCAACTCAGGAAAATGATGTAATTTAAAGACTACATTTAGGGCTGGGGATGTAGCTCAGTGGAAGAGTATATGGCCCTGGGTTTGATTACCTGCCCTGAGTGAGGGGGGAGACTTACATTTAAACTTTATTTGGAGGCTTTTCTACATTGCTTTTAATCTTAAACTCAGCAATAGAAATCTTGTGTTGGTGGTAACACTTTTTAAACTTGGGTTTTAATTTTTTGATAGTTTCCAGAATGTTTCCTTTGAGGGCAGTTCTGTCAGTGGATGTGAAAGCTGAGAGGGAAGACCTTCTACCTAAACAGATCTACAATACCCTCCCCAGCGAGCTTCGAACTCGGAACCTTGTACTTGCCAGGCAGGTGTGGCACCACTGAGCTATATCCCTGGCCCTAGACCTATAACATTTAAAGTATCATCTGATAGTGTTGTGTCAGCTGGACCCCACATTTCAGATTTGGAAATTAACAGAAAATTATTTATTAGGCTAAAAAGACCTAGCCCATTTAGATCTTTGAAATCAATCATCAGCATTTTCAATTAACGCCTTAGAAATATTTGTGTGTGGACAATAGTTCTAATCAGGGCCATGTTTTGGATGTGGTCTTGGATAGTCTATGATTCTTAACAATATTACATTTATTAAGTCTTATTGATTACAAGGTACTGTGGCAAATTATTCGTTTGCACAAACAGGTATGTATGTTCTCAGCATCTCTACAAGGTAGGTGTTTTTCTGTTTTCCCATATACATATCAAATGGGCTCAGAAATAATTTGGAGATAATAGCCAGCGGAGTCAGCAAAAGAGGCAAAATTGCCATCCAAACTGGTCTAACTTGAAGCTGTGCTCTTCAAAACCATGCTTTCTGCTTCTTCTTAGGAATCGGATTCCCCAAGCATGTTTTGAGTTCCCGTTATACCTTGTACTTGGGGAGGTATAAATATGCTTCTTGGATTTGACCAGCTACATTGGCAAGGCTGCTTCACCTTTAGTGACATAGAGGGGTGGAGTCAGATTCATCAGAACTGCTGGAAATGTCAGCCTCAAGTATAGACTTTTCTAATACAGGGTCATTAGTTGTGTTTCTTCATAAATGAAGGTTGCACATAATCATTTATGCCCTGAATGAGGTAGCTGTTTCTAATTAACCACTTGGTGTTTCATGTTTCTACATGTTCCATTTTAACTTTTGACTGACAATTTGATTAAATTTGCTATACTAATAAAGGCTATGAAGATACTCTTTGCATTCAATTTTGTGGTTTAGATGTATTCTTGAAGTGAAATGGAAGCCATTATAATTTGTGGACAGTTGTCTGTAATTACACTGACTTCAGTAAAATAAAATATAGAGGTGATGTCTATAGAGATGTCTTATTGTGTACCCATGGAAGTTGGACTCTGATGAAAATCTTTCTTTTTAAAAGTAGAATTTTCAGGGCTGGGGATTTAGCTCAGTGGTTCGGTGGCCTGCCTTGCAAGCACAAGGACCTGAGTTCAATC